TACCGTCGTGGGATTGCCCTGTTGCCAGAGAGATGGGAAAAAGTAGTAGAAAATGAAGGAAATTACTTTGATTAAGGTATTCATTCATCTTCCCTTAGAAACAAATCAATTTTGGAGACGAAAAAATGGCAGGAATTATGTTTAACATCTTCCATTGGAACATAGATTGGCAAACTATTGGTCGTCCACGACTTAATCCATACATGGCTTCTTGTATAATATTAATGTTTTTGGACATCCTATTTGTATTGCAGGGTATTTTTACGCTAGCTGTATTAGGTTATAAGGACAAGACTACAAGAGAACCGATAATTATTCTTAACTGTCCTTTTATTTCTTTTATCGGTGTTCAAGTCATTGATGAACTCGGTTTGATTACCTATTGTTAAAGTGTTTTGAACAATCAACAGATTTTAAACGTAATCAAAGAGAACAAACAACAATTTATTAATGTAATCGAAGTAGACGTTCTTATTAAAAGGAAATTTCCTAATCTTTTTGATAGTTTGATGCGGGAATGTACGAAAGTTATAGCTCATCTCCGATTGAAAGCGGATGTTCGTCCTGTCGTCCTTCTTGCCGTCCAGTGACGGATCCTGCAACCAAATGCAGATTTGACTCCGACGCGATCTCAAACGAACGCGAGAGCATACTCTGCCAACACTGCCGTACTTCAGTGTGCGCTGTACTTCTCAGGATACTACATCACGTTATGTTTGAAATATCTCGAGAAGTCTGTTAGTCAACGAAACGATTTTGTCATTGCAAAAAACCTATGTTATAATTGTCTCGGATCACATCTTCTCAAGGTGTGTCGCACCGCAAAACGCTGTCGATACTGTCGCAAGCAATATCACTCAACGCTGCATATCTCGATCACCAAGGCACACACCCCGGCTACGCCAGCATTTTCGGAAACCCCATCGACTACGTCTACCGAATTCACTGCCACGGTCATCTCTGGATCTTTCCAACCTGATGGAAAAAATTTAGTACAACAAGCGTGCAATCATATTGCACATTTTCGCATCATTCGACACACTCCAATGCTCTTCACTACTGCTCTCATCGGTGGAGTCTTTTGCTTAGAAGAACGCTACCAGCTATGTGCATTATTCGACCAGAGATCAGAAGCATCATTTATCTCCGAGTTGGTAAACAACGTTTAAAGTTTAAAGCTCGCGACAATCCACAGCCGCTCCGATTCTCGGAATCGGTGCTCATTGCCCTAGTGTCTCAAACAGACGCGTATCGTTTGAAATTATCTTGTGGATTAATTCACCATTTTCTCTTAAAAGTGACGCTCTCATATTACCGAAACTTACTGTATACTTACCTTTTTTGTAGGCCTATTCCGTAACTTTTTAATGATAATTTTACTAGCTAGGGATGTCGTTGCGCAGGTGCTTTGCATGGTAAAGAAGCCGCGCAACGACAGTATAACGATACCGAAATGTCGTTAAAAGTTACAGAATAGGTCTACTGGCAAAAATTTTTAATGAGAAATTGTGTTTATATCTGTTTAGGCAGCATTTTATGATGGTTATATTGTTTATGAAGAGTTTTATTAATAGTTACGTTGTTTAAGATTGTTTATGAATTGTTTATGAAGAGTCTTATTGATATATAGTTATATTGTTTAAAAATTGTTTACAAACATCTTGTAAATCCTCTGGTGTAAATAACATTTTATAAACACTTAGAAAACTATAATGAAAATGTTTGAGATTATTGTCATTAAACGCTACTTAAACATTTCATAAGAACCGCTTAGGAAACAGTCACGTAACACTGACTTCAACATGCATCAAAACATCTCCCAAACGTTCTATTTATAAATATTATAAATAATAAACAAAGACAGTATAAAAACGCAAGTCAAACATTTCTCAAATATTATGATCGAAGCAATTCTAAATTTTTATAGTTTAATTCTAAATCATTTCCGAAACACTGTAAACACCTGTCAAACATTTCAAGAAAACTATAATTAAAGTTGTTTTCAACATTAGACATTTCATCCTGTCATAAATAGTACTATAGAAATCAAAGCCTTACACGGTCTAGCTGAATCTTAATGCTTGTATGATTCTTATGTGAATTTATATACTACGTATGTAGTCCCACAGAAACGCGCGCCGAAAAATTTCCGGTCTTGAAACGCTAACTCTACTAAACTACCGCAGTAATATCACGAGTTAAATTGACTAGCAATTTTAACAAATTTTTGATGCTTATTCGCATCTTCGAAACGATCTTAATAATGATGAATAACATATTAAAATCTGTAAATAATTAATTCTTATTGCGAAAAATATTACCTCGGCCGGGAATCGAACCCGGATCTCTTGCATACCGTGCGAGCGTCCTGAGCCTTTAGACTACCGAGGCAATATGAATTAATTATTTATAGATTTTAATATGTTATTCATCATTATTAAGATCGTTTCGAAGATGCGAATAAGCATCAAAAATTTGTTAAATTGCTAAGCAATTTAACTCGTGATATTACTGCAGTAGTTTAATAGAGTTAGCGTTTCAAGACCGGAAATTTTTCGGCGCGCGTTTCTGTGGGACTACATACGTAGTATATAAATTCACATAAGAATCATACAAGCATTAAGATCCAGCTAGACCGTGTAAGGCTTTGATTTCTATAGTTTGTGTTATCACATGTACGGTCCTATAATATATTATATTATAAATAGTACTTTTATAATAGTAAAAAGAGGATCGCTTATTTTAGTATCTGTTATACATAGTAGGTATATATAGTATTGTATACATCTTTGAAACACAATCTAATTTTTTATTCTGTGATTAGATATGCAAACAATCTGTAAATTGTTTCAGCAGAGATTAAAAAATAAGCAAAATTATAATAATTTCAGTCATTTAAGGCTCCTGACTACTCAGTCAAGAACACTGCGTTGACGGTAGCGACACAGAATCAGACGACAGTTTGGCGAAACCGGTAGTCATGCATTCAAGCATGAGCCCATGTACGTGTGCTCGTTTTCGGCGCGCCGAGAGTGAACGAGATAGCGAGCATCTTCTCACACTAATCGATTGTTTCAAGCGACTGAAAATGCTTTCTCAACAATCTCGGCCGCTCGGCGGCCCCCAGTATCAATAAGGGGCGAGGGGCATTCTAAATAACATATAAGTTTTAATAAATTATAGTAATAGGATACCCCTCTCATTAATCTAGAATAGTATGGTACAAATCATGTTTAATAAAACGCAACATTTTACGAGATATTTAATTGTTTATGATTTTACATGCGCGTTATATACCTCCTTTATAAACTCGAGTAGGAAGAATAGTTCGCTAGAAGTAGAATTTTACTGGAAAAAAATTATAAACCAGTATTTTTCTTCACGAAAATCTTCGAAAGGCCATCAGAAAAGAAATGCGTATGTTTGAGATTCGAGACTTGTAAAGAAAATATGCGAAAAAATCGAATAGTTGCAAAAAGCAGGTTTTTCGCTTATAAAACGAAAAATATTGATTGTATGGAAAAAAGTTCGGTATGAAAAATGTAGGTATTCGAAATACCTACAAAATGAGATGTGGAACATTAAAATCAATGTATCAATTAAGTAGAAAAAAAATTAAAAACGCTAAAAAGGTCTTTTTTCACTCGCTCTCTGTTCATTGAGATTTAAATACGAAGCGTCTTTGAAATTCTCATAAAATGTAGCTGTCGTAATGACAAACAAATCTAGCCCTGTAGCGGGATTCTCTAACTTCCTATCGACGATTATCGTTAACTGTACTTATCGATAACTTTCGTTACGAGTAATTACGAGTGATTCTGTATCGAGAAGTTATCGATATTTCTCGTTAAATTGAATCGTGAAGTTCCGAAAATTGTTGTTACATTAACGATGGACTCCGGAGATCTCGTTAACTACTCAGCGATACTCGATAACCTGTTAAGATTCCTAAGAAACGTTGCGCACGTGTTGGGTGCTGCATTAGTCTCTAATTTTTTTGCAGAAGATCTAATAACGATCGAACCGCCATTACTTCGTCACATTTCACGGAAGATAATCACTTTTGATTTTGAATTATGAATGCTCTGTGCACCCGTTCACGTTGCTTTTGCCCTTCCAAAATCCATCCTTAACGGTGCATATAGAGTTCCATTTTGATTGTCGAGAACATATTTAATAACTTGTCAGTGAAACACGCATTTATAAAATACGTACGTAAAACAATTATATTGAGGTGTTACGTCCAAGCTCCGATAATGTGGGTGAAAAGGTTTAGGGAAAGAAAAGGATAAGAAGGGAGAAGCATGGAAGGACGTTAGAGCAGACGCTATGTCTCGCATGCATCCACGAGAAAGCGATGGAGCTAGTCGAACGCACCGTTTATAGCTCTGGAATATGGGTCAACGTCCCGAAGGGACGATATGACACCTGTTTCCGATGAGCAGTGCGATCGTCGGTCCGACTTTAGAGTCAAGGAACTTAATC